TCAGTTAGTGATATACAGCTGTGTTAGGATGTCCCTGTTTCATATAATTTACCAAACAAAGCTGGAGCTCAGCTTGGATAATTACCACTCAGCAGGCCAGATAATTTATCCATCCATCTCCTTTCTACCATTGATCCGGGTTTGGGTAGAGGAGGCAGCAGTCTAGGCACCTCTTTTAACGCATCTGGGGGGTTAACTGAGTTTTTAAAAGCTAGCTAAAAGATATGGATCTCTCTAGTGATTCCTTAGTCTGCCCCAGGACCTCCTCCTCGAAGGACATGCATGAATAACATCACCTTGGATGATGCCATGTACCTCAAGCTAGTTTTGGAAGCTGAAGAGTCAACCGCAAGGATCTTTGCCCCTTGACTGCCACCCAACCACAAGGCACCACACTCTCAGAGCCCCTGGTGTGGTTGGTGGGCCTATTAGAAGGCAGATCAGTTTAGCCTCTTTAACCAAGGCCTGGCCCTGCCCTGGTGCTGCTGTCCTGGGCAGGCTAAACTAGATCTTTGATTTAAGGTTGCAATCCTCCAAGGGGAGATATCCACTTCATTAGATAATAAATTAAGTTCGATCATCCTGGTCTTTTATCAATTTTTAGAATTATTTCTAACATATATTTATTTCATTTTTTCATTGATCTGGATGCAACATTTTCAGTCTGATAAATACTCATCAAATGGACTTCTTAAACTTGGGTGACTGGAGGGTTCCCCAACGTTATAAACAAGATAGTTGCATAACAATGAGCCACAAGATTGCACATTAACTATTGTAAAACCAACTTATTAATCCCAAGGGCTGTTCACAAAGAACTGGAGAAATGACTGCAATCACAGCACTAAAAGATGGCAAATATTGTACTCTTAGGCCCCTTCTTTGGTTCAGAGGTGGCTTTTACAAACCAGTGCTCCTCTCCGTCCAGGATGTGCATATCCTCACCATTGAAAGAGTGGCCACACTTGCTTTAAAGCTCCTGGCACGCAGTTTTTGTGCTGATGTTAATGCCAGAGGACGTTTAGAACAATCACCTATTCACCAAGACCATTTCTGATGAGGCTTCAGTGAACAATAGATGGATCAACTGAAGGGCCTCATGCATCTGTCAGATCTGTGTCAGGTCTTTGCTGCCCTGCCCCGCCACCCGCTTCTTAAGGAGTTTTAGATATTGTTCATCTGCTGAGCTTATTTTTTTTTAACCCCTGACACTTCTTTTGTCCTCCAACTGTCTATTTTCCTCCAATCTTTTAAGGTCACACTGGACTGCTAAGTTATAATCAGTGTTGGGGAGTAACGGAATACATGTACCGCTGTTACGTATTTAAAATACAAAATCTGAATAACTGTATTCCTTTACAGTTACCACTTTAAAAATTGGTATTCAGAATACAGTTACTTTGTTGAAATGAATGGATTACACGGCAGTATTTTCCTGCTTTATAAGGCTATGAACTCTATATTTTTGGTGTCCACGCCGGTGGAAACCAAAACAAAACACGCATTAAGAGGCTCTCATGTCACCCATACTTGCAGCCCGCATAATGATGTGATTTTGGCTAATAGTTCTTCAGGAATGGCCTTGTTGGTGCAAAAATGCTATTTTGTGCCGGTGTTGGCCTTTACACTGAAATGGGAACAAATCATGTGTTTTGTGACAGGCACTTTGTTACTGGCAGGCTAAGGATTACAATCTAAAACTGGTTCTTTTATGGAGACACTGGTTCATCCTTTCACTTAGGTGCCTTTTTATGGTCATGATTCATAGGTTTGCGTTAAGTAGTTTAGCAAAACAAATAATAAAAAAAAAAGTACAAAAACTGGACTGAAATTAGTGGAAAAAGTAGCCAATGTCCACAGAAAATCTTTGAAAGACCTTCAGAGTTTGTTTAAGCTAACTAATAACCCCAAACAAAAATAAAGAAATTAAGGACTCTGCTTTTTTTGGGAGGGGGCACTGTACTCACAACTAAAATGTAAAGAATCACACTTGTGAGAGCTATCAATCTTTCCTTACATGCAACAGAATAAAGTAATGAGTATTTTTGAAAGATCCAAGTCAGTTTTAGTAATTTGACTTAAATTTTAAACCCAAAGACTTTATTTAAAACATGGGTAAAACATTGGCATGGCCGACTTATGTAGCCAGAGCTTAAATATCAAACTACTAATAGCCTACATTATTTATGACATTCATATTATGTGTAATTTGAACATACTGTTCGGTAAGACTTCCAATGTAAATACCAGTGAAACTGCTTGAGGAATTCAGTGTCACGATTTTTTTGACCTGATAGTGGGTGCCTAAGTATACCCCTTACATTTCTGACCATGTAGAAGTAAACTCGCAGGAAAACCAAAGTTAACCTCACTTGTATTATCTGTACAGTTTGGCAACCTTGAAAACACCCACACAGACACACAAATATAAAAGAAGGGTCTGAACAAATCACATTTAATGCCCTGGGCTTTATTGTCTTATTTTAGTGAGAGTTTTGTCACATTTTTTTAGTCTTTTCAGCCTCCAGGTGGGACAAGTAAACCTCAAGGATATATCCTGCCATTGGACTGGGCATTCAGATTCTGACAAAGACGAGAAGCACTACTAAGTAATGCTGCCTTTGTGCCTAACTCTTCATAGAAGAGAGAACATAAAATTCCCCAAAGGAAGGCACCCAATACTTGTGGTTTTTGGCCTTGCAGCCGTCTGGAGATTCTTTTTTCAAAGAAAAAAAAGAAGAAAAAAAAAAGAAATAAACAAAAAAAGAACTTGAAGAAAAGGGAAGAGAGGAGAGAACTGATGCTTTCTCACAACTCTCTGCCCCTTCATTAGCATTTTTTGTTATTAAAAACTGGAATGACGAAACACGTACAGCGATTACTGTCCATTCACCTCCCTTATCACCTATGCATGAACAAGTAACAAACAAACAAAAGAATGAAGTCTTTCAATGAACGAAGGCTTACAATCAAGTTTACCACAAGAGAGAGAAAAAAATACAAAAATAACTGATTTTCTTTTACATAAAAATGTTTGTGGGATAAAACAAATACAAAAACGGGGGACTCCGCTTGCATGAAAATGAAGGACAACCCCATAAAGAACAAATAAAATATAAAAGCAGCATTGATATTCATCAAAACCATCAAAAAAAAAAGAAAAGAAAATACAATAGTGCTTAAATCAGAAGCGGCAGAAGCTTCTGGGAAGAGACTTCATCCCTGTTTTGTTACTTGTAATTGGGATAATGTTAATGGAAGCCCCCTGAAGAGAGGAGTGCCTCTCCATGAGGGAACCAAACCACCTCCTCTTCAACCACCTCCTCCACCCACTTCTCCTGGCCTCCAGGTCTGTATGTATGTCACCACTGATTTTAACACGATCCACAGAGAGAAGCACGGGGAGCCAAAATAAATCTGTGTGTGTGTGTGTTTGTGTTTGTTTGTAGGGGGGGGGGTGAGACCTGCTTTGTGTTCACAATATACAAAAATACCCAGGAGTCCGTAGCTACCTAACATTTACTACAGCACAGGAACCAACAAAAGGTACAGTGTACAAATAAAAATCAAAACAAAACAAAACAAAAATTAAAAAAACAAAACAAAGAAACTGTAAACACAGCACAATAAATAGATAAAAACAGCAGGCTCCGCACCATGCACATGATGTAATAAAACTCTTCTCTATACAACTCGCACGTCTCTCACACTCGCCACAAGTTACTTGGCTCACTTTTTTTTTTCCTTTGACTCCCAAGTGCAAAACATCACAAATGGACAGTTCTGTATTCAAGTAGTATATATACACTGGGTGGTGGGGAGGATATTACAAATATGAAGTTACTGTACAGATACTAACTTTGCCATATTCATAATTTACAGGTGTCAATATTTTACTTTTAACAGTAACAAAAAAAACCAAAAGGGAAGAAAGAAAAGGTTTAAAAAGTATGAGAGAGATGAGAATTGCGAGCGGCCGCGGCCACACGTCCCGTCTGCGAGTCCGAGTCCTGCCGTCCCTTTTGCATTCCCGATGCTACGATGCACAGCACCTAAAGAGCGGACTCTTTGCTGCACCGCTACTACGTCACCTCCATGGCCACTGTGTTGTCTGCTATATTGTTCAGTGCTGGCTTCTCTTCATCGTGATTTTCCCTGTGGAGACAAAGAAAAACATTAATCCCTGCTGTTCTTCAAACTTTTCTCTCACAGACTTTATGTCACTTGTGGCTTGCTGGCAGTTATTTTGGTCATATCTGCCAGGTCCAGCTGACTACTTAAACCAGGGATTGTGTCTCGTAATGCAAAAGCTTTAACGCTTATCTCGAAACAAACATGATATAAAAGTTAATCTGAGACTTCTGCAACACTGACAATCTTATAATAAAGTCTCTTGTGAGTTGTTTTGTACAGTCTGTGTAATATGTGATGACTGAATGAATACATTTGAAAATATCTCTTCCTCTATGCATGTTTATGTTTCTTCAATTCAGGTAGGTTTATGATGTGTCTGGGCAGCTTTGGTTCTGCTGTAAACTAATTAAAGATTGTGACAGTGTGAAGTCAGTCAAAACAACAACAACAACAAAATGAACAGAAAGCAATGCCACAAAGTGTAATGATGCTGAAAACCTATGACTCTGAAAGGGTGTGTACAGGCAGGAGGGAAGGAAGTGATGTGGCAACTACGCCAATAAACACCGGGGAAAAAATTGTAACTCCGACTCAAGTTTTGAACTGAAGCAACGAATAGTGCTGACTGATATTACAAATGTGACCAACTGTCATCTATGTAGTGATCAGCAGCGAGTTTTACTCAGATTGAACCAATATGCAACCTCTGAGTGCCAAATCTGCCTAATATTTCAAGAAGTCTGTCCAGCTGCCTATCTGATGATATTTCGATCAGCAATTCTCATATTTTGGCTAAAGATTCACTGGGCTCTGTTACCAGCGTTTCCCCAGTCAGTGGCGGGGAAACGCTGGTATTTTCTTGGGTATTGGGGATGACTGGACACGTGTAAGCCTCATTAGTCAATATGCAGTTAAGGCAAGGAGTCTGTTAATGTCACTTCATGTCCTGAACAAAATTAAATTCCCCTGAATGGAAAGTCAAAACCTCTTTCATGGGGGTTAAAAAGAACTGAGCATGAGCATGTAGGGATAAACCCTTACCCTAACTCAGGAGTTCTCAAGCTTTGATGCACCAACAGATGGGGGATGACAAAAAATTGAATGGAGACATGACATACTACTGCACTGAGGTCTTTTTCTTTTCTTTTTTTTAAATAAAACTCAGCTTGAGTCAGGAAATAATTTGTTGGGGTGGGCGTAAAAATGTTTTGCTTCTGAAGCAGAGCATGGCAAAAAAGCTTGAGAGCCACTGCCCTGACCTAAACATTCTTTTCTTCAAGTGTTAGCACTTAATCAGGCTTTTGAAATTGTGTGAAAAGAGACGTTGAACTAAATGTAATCACAAAACTAAAAATGGTTCTCATAAAGATAGCTGGACGTGGTTGTATTTTAATTGATTTTTTTGGCTTCGGTTTCCTGTTTACACATGACAGCAACCCAAACCCATACATGTCTGCCACAATCTCACACAGTGATCATATTCAACAAGTATATCTTTCTTTATGGGGGCATGTGGGACATTTGTCCAATGCTTCTTATAGGGCACAGCTTAAATACAGTACATATAACAGAACTTAGCAATTTCATGCTTACTCAGCATTATCCCAGTTCCCTTAAGCTTAACAATAAAGATTAGTAAAAAACAAACTTATATTTACCTGCCACACATTAGAAATGCTGAGCAAAGCCTCACCTGGAGCTCATGTCCATGGATGTTGCTCCAGATACTTTGGGGATCTGCAAGTTGGTGGTGGTGGACAGCTTTAAGGCAGAGGATGGCACATTGCCAAGGGTCCGGGGGATGTGGCGTGCAGCCAGGCTGGCGGCCGACGTGACGCCCAGACAGATGTTGTTCCCGAGGAGGACCTGAGTGGTGGCAGGGGTGGCACTGGCAGCGCTGCACCCCAGGAGCCCCAGTGCCGCTGCTGCATGAGCGCCGGGGTTGGAGTTGAGGGAGGTGGGGACGGCATTTGCGGGCGAAGGGGTGGCCGAGTTGGAGGAAGGTTGGAGGAAAGTGGGGGCTGCGGTGGTGGTAGTGTGCGTCGTCTGGTTGGTCTGGTGATGGGCTGCTGTTGTGCTGGATAGGTGCAAACCTTTGAAAACACCTGGTGGACGAAGAAACGGTCTCATGAATGCAAATGA